GAAAGGGACTGCAAGCAACCATAAGGCACAGACTTTAAAGAGTAGCCTGGAAGGAAAACCTAAAAGGAAAAAAACAAAAACAGAACCATGCACAGAACTTTACTTAAAGTGCCTTCCTAATAGTATTTGAGGAGGAGGAGCATTAACCCAATTTGACTATTATCACATATTTTGTGGCAATCTGACTACTTTGGCCAGATAGCAATTTTTGCAGAGCATTAAGTTAGAGCACTGTTTCCTGCTATTTATCCGTTTTATCTATCTGGATTGTGCATTCAGAAGAAGATGTTTACCACCCTCGTTCGGAAAGCAACTTCGGCGTATCGCCCGCTACCTACACATCAGCCAGGGGAACCTGGGGTGAAATATGCAGGCAAGATGGTTCATGAAACTCAACTCAGCTGCTTCTATACTCCACCTGGAGGTAAGGATTCAGAGTAATGTGTTCTACAAAAATAAACTCATTATTCTGTTCAAATTCTGCTTTGGGGTAGTGAAGAACCATGTTTAAAGTTCAGCCTATATGTTTTCTAATAGTTGTCTTTGGAGCAATTTAGGCTCAGCAAATCAAAACATTAATTAAAATGAATGGGCTTCTACCCAGAGAAGACATTACAGTGAAATTGCTAGGGGAATATGAAAATAAATTATAGATTTTACAATATTATAGTAAAAGAGATATACTGCTATATATCAAGATAAAGAATTGTTTTGCACTGCCTAATGTACTTGGGACTAGAACTTACAGGCTGTAATCTAATTCAAAAGAGGAGATTTATACATTTTAAGATTAAAATTTCATGTGCATCAATTTCATATTCAGTTTTGTTTTTATTTTCTCTGCAGAAAAAAATGTACACGTATTCTATACAAATATTCTTTTGAAGCTTGTCGTTCTCCAAGCCCGCCTCATTTATTCTTTTTTAAATTTAAAATTGAAATTTACACATTTTTGGTGACTTAAGCATAATAACAGCCTAAGGAATGGCAGTCATCTTTTAAACATGTAAGAAAAGATTGATTTTCAAATATCACACTGGTTTTTTTTCGTATTTCATATTTCAATGGTAGGTACATAGTCACACCAACTTTTGACTGATTTTATCTAGTTGCATAAAATCACTTCTGTCTGTAAGTATTCAATGGCAGAATAGAAGATAAATAGAAAGACATTTGAAATGTCCTTCTTAAAAATACAACAGTATTTCAACTTCCACTACTGTCTGCTTAATGTGGACTACCTTATCTTCTAGAAATGTCTAGAATTCTCCAACTTGGTAATATATTCCAACACTACCACCACCACCACACGCCCCCAAATTTTCAAACAATCTGAAATGTTACCTATGTGCTGAGCTTCATGAAGGGGAAATGCTTTTAAATGAATTAATTGCTTGTATGAATCTCTCACAAATCTTTAAAAAGCTAAAAAAAACAAAATTCCATCACATAATCTTTCACATGGATTAGACACTCCCCCCAATGAAGCTGGAAAAAAAAATACCCCAATGCAAAACTGCTACTAACTGCTGACAGTCTGCATAGTTTTGTTATCTTAGGCTCTTGAATTCATCCCTTCTCACATGGCATAGTTTTACTCTGATACAGTATTAAGCATGAAGTTGTAGTCTAAAAGCTCTACATCTGAATTAGGTCTAAACTCACATGTTGTCGAAGTAACACAGTTTACATATACATTTGCAAGAGAAATAAAGAGAACAAAATATCCATTGGTTTGATATGTTTATTACTGTACACAAACTGCTGAGACTAATTAATCTATCATGCTTGTTAATCTATCACACATAGCAGTTCTTTAAGATGCCAAGTAAATACGGTAAGTACAGTTCCTGGATTTTTTAAATCCCAGATGATCTTGGGATTTTTGAGGGGAAAAGCTTGAGTTCTAGTCTTGACCAGGAACACCTATAATTGCCGCAGTTGTAAAGTAGTACAGGTAGTCCTCCACTTAAAACAGTTCATTTAGTGGCTGTTCAAAATCGCAACGGCACTGAAGAAAGTGACTTATGACATTTTTCACACTTACAACCGTCGCAGCACCCCCATGGTCACGTGATCAAAACTTGGGCCTTTGACAACTGGTTCACATTTATGACGGTCGCAGTGTCCCGGGGTCATGTGATCAGCTTTTGCGACCTTCTGACAAGCAAAGTCAATGGGGAAGCCAGTTTCACTTAACAACCGTGTCGCTAACTTAACAACTGCAGTGATTCACTTAACAACAGGGGCAAGGAAGGTCATAACATAAGGCAAAACTCAACAAATGTTTCACGTAGCAACATAGATTTTGGCCTCAACTGTGGTCGTAAGTCGAGGACTACCTGAATCTGCCTTGAAAGATCAGTTGAAAAGCATACACAGTTCTGTATCTTTTAGCCTCTGAGCTTCTGCTTGGAAAATATTCTACTCTTAACAATTTTATTGTAACGCTATGTAAGGAAGACTGTGAAATGTCTTGTATATTCCACCTATTTTACTTCTCATAATACCCACTTTACTTGTTAACCTAATCTGAAATCCAACTGAAATGTATTGGAAATGGCTTGCTAAACCATCTCATTTATGGAGGTCAATTATTCACTAAGGGTTATCATTTTGCTATTTAAAAAACTTGGGCGGATGGCAACCAGAGACCTTTATTATTGTGTGACACTTCACAACTTGAAATTACATTCTGAGAGCAGTATGGGCTTAACAAACTCTTGCTATGGAATAAGAAAACTGAGCAAGAAAAAAAATGGCATACGCACAACAGCTGTTTAAGAACCCATCAATCATTTCTACTAATTTGGAATTGCAACAGCTGGATCAACTATTGAAATAACTCTAATCCAAGTATGATTTAGAACTAAACTAATATTGCTGGCAAGCTAATTTCACAGCATTCTCGTAGCTAAATGTTATTAACTATAAAGTATGTTCTGAACAGAGTTACATCCACCTCCCCTTAAATTCCAGGTTTATGGTTTAGGACAGGGGTAGGCAACCTTGGCTCTTTTATGACTTGTGGACTTCAAGTCCCAGAATTCCTGAGCCAGCCATGCTGAGGGGAAAGGGAGAGGTTTCCAAGCTGAGCCATGCTAGCTCAGGAATTCTGGGAGTTGAAGTCCACAAATCATAAAAGAGCCAAGGTTGCCTACCCCTGGTTTAGGAGAACTTCAACTCATCACCAGAGTTTTTGCAAAGCTACACAAATATTTTGATCCAGCAAATAATTTTTGCAAAGCCCATGAGTATCAATGAAAGTCTCTTCTTCAAATCATTAAAACAGTATGTCTCAATCATGACATCTTCAAGTTGTGGACTTCAACTCCCAGAATTCCTAGCTAGCCATTAAAAAAATCTAATAATTCACACATGTTCATGCCCTCTAAAAAAACTCCAATTCTCACCCGACTTAGCCAGCACAGCCAATAGTGATTGATAGGTTTTAATCCAAAATAACAAGGTCTATGTAATGCCAACTCTTAATTTACATCACATATTTCCAATTAATAGTCCATCTACTTTTAAATAATTACTTATTTCTAATTTTTTTATTTAAAATATCACATTCTCATTTTATAATATAAAGAACTGGTTAACCGGCATTAAAATGCAGACAGAATGTTAGTCAAAATTACACATAACAGAAATATAGTTCATAGAATTTAAGTACTAGCCAATTTAATAACAGGGCATAAAAAGGTAATTTTCTGACAGTAAGCAATAATTTTGCTTCCCAGCTACAGTTAGCTAAACCAAGAAAATAGCTATTATTGACTTTATTTGTACTTACAGATGAAGTGAAGCTATTTTTGAATAAACATTTTGAATTGGAATAGGGAAAGTGTTCATTTGAAGGAAAACCGCAAACAATATATTCTAAGTAATTAACAATAAAGGTAAACAAGATTGCTTTCAGAAGATCGTATCTTAGCATATTAAACTGAGATATTTGTCAAGCCCTTTGTCTATACATACAGCTCTTTCATAACATGAGAATAGAAAACAAAAAGCCCCTAATTACCATCTTTTTGTTTTATTTGACCCAGCTAGGATAGCAGTAGCTAGTTGACCTTAACTGTTCTTGAAAATCTAGAAATGTTATTACTTGCATGAGGGACTACCAGACCTAAATATATTTTACTTAATATATACTTAGGGGTAGAAAATCTGTGAAGAAACGTCGAAGCTTGGTTGTTTGCTTGCAGATGTTGCATTGCTCAACTAGGTAATATCAGATTTGCTCCCTGTTTATATATATATATATAAGCTTGCCCTGCCAGTGTTGGTGGTGATTGGTTTTCTCTTCGGTAGATCCTTGATTAAGACATTGTTTTCTGCTGGATTGTTTGCCTGGTGTTCATCCCTGCTTATTTGGATATTTGCTGCACCAAGTATTCCACAATTCAATCCTGACTACATATATTTTCTCCTACTGAGACATTAGTCACCTAGAAAACAATTGAACTTTTCTCAATTTCTTCAAAGTTCATACGCCAGCCAAATGGCATTATAAACTATGCTCAATTTTTTTAGGGATCCTCATCCATAAAATTTCCTAAAACAGGAGGCTTTCCATGTATTACAGAAATAAGCTCTTGTGCCACTTGTCCTTATAATTCCTTTGGGAGGGAGAATCTTGAGGAGAGGCTAAAGCGCATACAGGATGTCCTTGACTTACAATCATTTGTTTAGTGAGTGTTCAAAGTTACAATGGCGCTGAAAAAATGACCTATGACCGTTTTTCACATTTATGACTGTTGCAGCCTCCCCATGGTCAGTGATCAAAATTCGGATGCTTGGCAATTGGTTCATATTTATGATGATTCCAGTGTCCCAGGGTCAGGTGATCACCTTCTGTGACTTTCTGACAAGCAAAATATTGGTAAAATATTGAAACATGCTGTTCTAAACAGAGGTTGTTTAGAAGCAGTGTTTAAGAAGCCCATTTTATATAACAATGCATTTTGTTCGTGCGTTAGTAAGTTACTCACATCTAGCATTTCTGTAGAGTAGAAAAGGATCCTGCAACTGGAAATCCAGATCTTTTGTTATGGGTTCTGTCCGATTTTCCATGCTCAGCCTATTCATAATGGTAAATCCATACTTGGGCGAAGCTGATCTGAAAATGACCAAGGTTGAAACCATCAACTATCTACTAAAAATAATTCAATTATTAGTATGATAAATATTTTTAAATCTTTTCAAATACCAACACTTTTATCATCAGTTAATTTTTGATAGTTCAAGGAAATTATTATTTTCTCAAAAAACCTCAACAAAGAGCTGCCGCCGCAAGTACCAGTACTTGAGGGGCAATCAGAGAGGAAGGAGTTGTATTATACTCCATAGCACTCGAGGGCAGGACAAAAAGCAACGGGTGGAAGCTCATTAAAGAGAGAGTCTACCTGGAACTAAGGAGAACTTTAGAATAAAAAGCCATTAATCAATTGAACAACTTGCTTCCCAGAGTTGGTCATGTTTCCTATCTGGCTTATCTGGGAAGGCTGACACACCATAATTTGGTTGCTGAACAACTGGTCTTTAAGTGAGGACTGCCCGTGCTTCTCCACTTTCCACAATTGTTCTATGTCAGGATAGCCCAGGGGTAGGCAACCTTGTCTCTTTTATGACTCGTGGACTTCAACTCCCAGAATTCCTGAGCCAGCATGGCTTAGCTTGGAAACCTCTCCCTTTCCCCTCAGCATGGCTGACTCAGGAATTCTGGGAGTTGAAGTCCACGAGTCATAAAAGAGCCAAGGTTGCCTACCCTTGGGATAGCCCTTCCAGTGATTTAAATATTTCAAACCCTCTTCCGTTTCTAAAATCAGAAACACTGTATTTCACAATAGTGGACAATTGCAAATGAAAGCCTACCAGGCTGATTTGAGCTCTCAAAGGGAAGGGGGCCAAAAACTTTAAGTTGAGTTTCTTGGACTGATGGGAGGAAGGTAGAAACTGAATGAAAAACCATACTAAATCCCCCATAGCAGTTCCATTGAAGTCCCCACTTGTAGTCCTGTGTCCTATTCAAGATGGACAATATTTAATATTTATTTGCTACGTATATGTAGGGATGTGGGTCTATACATATGTTGTTCATAGTATGTTTAGGTGTGTGTCATGTATATGTTTACTTTGAGAGCGGGCAACTAAATTTCATTTTTTGATGTGTGCCAGTAAAGGTTATCTTATCTTATCTTATCTTATCTTATCTTATCTTATCTTATCTTATCTTATCTTATCTTATCTTATCTTATCTTATCTTATCTTATCTTATCTTATCTTATATATAAGCACTGGCTGCCCTTATCCAAATTAAGCTGCTCCCTTAAGATGAGCTGTGCTGTGTCTTTTTCTTTGGGAAATCAGAGGCTGAAAGAACCGAAGCAAGAATCTGGTGGATAAACAATCTGGCGGATAAACAGTGCTTGGAAGGAGCCATGGCACTAGAGCAGGGGTAGGCAACCTTGGCTCTTTTATGACTCGTGGACTTCAACTCCCAGAATTCCTGAAGTCCACTAGTCATAAAAGAGCCAAGATTGCCCATCCCCTGCACTAGAGGAATGCAGACTTGCTACATGCAAATTTTGCAAATGGCAACAAATCTGTCCAACTGTTCTATTGATAGGCTATTTAGCAATGCAAATATTGTTTTAATATTGCATTATTCTGCACGATGTTCCCATCCAATCCCTAGTGATGTGCCGATGACAGAAGAATATTTATGTCTGGTAATTGAAAAAGGGTTTTTTCAGAATTGAGGTATAAATTGAGAGCCATGAGATCAGGTCACACGATTTACTAAGACCCTGAAAACGTGGCCTAGAAAGTGCTACGCAGTTTCCAGAGCAGATGGTCGCCCTTTAGAAGTAATAAAATGAGCCACCTTTCTAAACAGATCAGTAGAATGGTCATAAAATTCTGCACATCTGGGAAATCAGTAATAAAGATCAGGGAAATTGTATCCTATAGTCCAATGATGGAAAGTAATAGCTGGAGCAAACTGGCAGGCTTAGCAGAGATAGCCTCAACTCTATGGCAGACATGACACGAAGAAAACTAATCTCTGACAACTTCTCTTGTCCTTTGCAACTACAAATGTCTAACCAAAGATGCAATGACTCAAAAACTACCCCATGCCTTGCATTTTTGTTGTACAGAGTGTAGAGATAACCATGAAGAAGTAATGCAAGACCACTTAAGTGAAACATCAGTTCAACTCTGAGAAAAAACAGGGAGTGAGGAAGAAACTCAAGATTATCCTGCCTGAGTTTCTTTCTCATTCTCACTTCTCTCTCAGGATTGAACGTAGGGCTTCTGAGGGCTTTGCTACTCTTGCATTCCTTCAAGGTTATTTCTATACATATTATCATGGATAAATTGCAACACCTCTTTCCAGAGAGGAAGAGGAATATAAAAATGACCATTATGAAAAAGTTCTTCAGCCAAAGATAAAAGGAGAAACAATCTGCGTAGTTCCGTGGAAGCCATGTGTTGGAACCCTGACATAGATCCTATTGTTATAGGTAAATCTGATTGAAAAGATTCACAATCTACCAATGTCTCAGCAATATCCCTTCCCAGAAGGGAGAGCTAAAATTACCAGACCTCAAAATTGTGACAAGAGAGGACGCATAGAGAACGTCAAATTTGGGCTTGCACAACAGAAGAATCTGGCAGTTAATCTTGTGAAGTAGGAACAGCAGTAATGTAAAAGAATCAGCCCTTCAAAGTAGACCAGATCAGGAAACAAACTCCACAAGTATGATTGGAATTATATTTATTGATATAGATATAGTAACAGAATCGTGAAAGACTGACTTATAGTTTTATACTCAAGAGAGTTAGGACAGACCCAGTCTCAATTTGTTCCTAATATTTTGTTTCTGGGCTTAAAGCATGTTTTTGAAGATATTATTGAAATCACCTCTGCATAGTTTTTCAAGGGACATCTCTGTGACTCTCTACATGAAGTTAAAGTGAGAGAAAATTTCTTCCCACCTGATTAAATATTGGGTGAGGCTCTTGAGCTTTCTGTAATGTTCCAAATTCTTATGATCACAATTCCCCTCAGTCAGGAGGAGACATCTTGACGAAAATGCAGCCATAGCTCAAAGAAGAATTCAAGGCATCACTAGGCACAACAAAGAGTCAACTAAGATCTGAATGGTGGAGCAGAGGGTGGGGGTACAAGTGAAGTTTCAAGCCATGAAAAACCCGCTTGTTCTTGAGTAGGTAGACCTTAGTCGTCTTGTACACTTAGCAAAATCTGGAAAGAAGCACTTATAAAAGTTGGCAAAGTCGGACATCCTTAACATTTCTAGGTCTGTGCTATGTAAGAATGGGTTGCCCCTTGGCCAGATCCATCTGCACTCCTTGTGTCCTATGCTGGAAGATCAGCTGCCACTTTCCAACTTGGCACAGATCCTGTATTTGCATAGATGCTTTAACATATTCCTGACATGAGCAGATGCAACAATCCTCTGAATAAATCAAAATATATCTGAGTAAACTATACATATTTGTCCAGAATATCTCATTCATGAATTTGGAAAAAAACAGGGCAATTAACTAGACCAAAAAGCTGTACTCAAACTTGCCTGTAAGTTTAGTAAGACTGCTAAATATTCATAATCCTCCTTCATTCAAATTAAATTGCAAGCTGCTCTCAAGTCCAATTTAGTGAAATCATGTGCTTTCTGAAGGTGGTCCAGCAGATCCGAAAAAAGAGGCAGTGGGTAATATTCTCTAATGGTCAGAAAATTGAAAAGTCGAAAGTCATAAACTGGTTTCAAGGAAAAAGTATCTTCTTTTCAATTAACAAAAATTATGTTGCAGATTCAACAAATGCGAGAGGGCAAATAGTTTCTTCAGATTATTGTAAAGAAACTGCTTTAAAGAGGCCAACTCTTGAGTAGACATGGGATATTGTGCTTAGCAAGGATCTGGCTCCAAGTAGCAGACTGCTAGGACAATCACATGACTGTGTGCAACCTTCTCCCCCCCCCCAAAAAAAAAACAAACATAAGCCAAAATCTACACACTTTTCTGGTAATGAAGATGGCTCAAGCAGCAGCATAGGAAGGGGAGGAGAACAAGAGTACAATGCCTGCATCAAATGGCATTCCCATTGTTGTGAGGCTAAATGAACAATCCCTGATTCCTAGTGAATATCAAGATTGTGTGCCTGTAGCCAGTCTGTCATTCAAAACAACTGGGATGTGAAAGAAAGCTATCAGATATAAATGAAATCGTTCTTCACGTTCATTTATTCTCAGCTACAAAGAAGTTGTTTGTACAGGATAGGTCCTGATGTGAGGGACCTGCCACTGATCAACTCCACCTGCATAGCCTTCTAGTGGTTGCACATGCAAGCCTAACTGCTGTATACGAGCCCCATCTATGAAATTAACAGTCACCCCAAAATTCAAATGTACTGATGTCTGAATTTCTCAGCTTTTGAGACTCTGAATACTAATGAGGAATATAACTCTATTCTTTTTTTTTCCTGGACGTCTGCTAATCATTCTGTCACAAGAGATTAAAAATATATAATTGGCCATTTCCTTATGATTAAAGTTCCACCCTTTTTTTTACATTGGTCATATAATCATAAATCTTCAAGACACCATTATTTTGACCTATCCAACTGAGATCCCTGATTATAATTAAAATATTTCCCAACAACTTTAAGATTTTATATCATCATTGAATCATTTTTGAGACGGTAGTTTCTTTAATGTACCGTGTGTTGTTTTTTTAAAAACTGACCTAAATGTTGTTTTACATTTATATAATTATTAGGGGCATACCTTGAAAGAGCAGAGTGTGCATATTCCTAGCAAAGGGTTTGCAGAGTAATAATTAGTTATACAAACAGTGGAATGTTGCATTGTCCCCACATTTATTCTTCACAATCTTGAAGGCTCCTTCCAGTTTATTCATTTGATTCTCCGCATATAAAGCATAAAGCTACGGTTTTTACTTAGAATAAACATTATTTCTTACCTAAGGCTTATAGGATTGCAGCCCAACTCTCCTATTATGTTAACACAAGAGCTGACACAGAAGAAATTTATTCTAGATGCTTTGTCACCATTTCTCGTTTTTCCCTGTACATTTTCAGCACATAGCAATTGAAACTAGTGTGACATTCTAATCTGAACCCAAATTTAATACCACTGAAAAGAATCAGAATAAATATCTGGGAAGTGTTTCAAGTTGATAGTCCCAGAGGACATTCTGAGCCAGAAGACTGAATGTACAATACAGGAAACAAGGCAACAAAAAATGAAACAAAAACGGAACGGAAAGAAACTAAATACAGTAACAATCAAGGCATCGTCATATCTGCAGATTGTTCAGTTTGTTTAATTGTCACTTCCAATAGGATAACTTCTAATATTTTAAATTGCATTTCTTTCCCCCTCAATTTTAGCAGCAGCAATCTCTAATCCAGTTTAATTATCCAAATAACCACAGCTGCAAGATACAATCTGTCATCACCATGCCTTTTATTTTTAACACACTGAACCAGTTATTTTTCAAGAACAAAACGTGTGAATTTTAAAATATTTGTTTGTAAATACTTCATAAGCAAAGCAAACATTTTTATTTATTTATTAGATTTAAAACTGTCCCTCTTTCAAGGCTAAATAAGCTCCCGGCTGATATTACTGAGAAATCAAATTCAGATATTCTTAAGCATTCAGTGTCATTCCTTCGATTATTAATTACTGCAATCCCAAGATTCCTAGCAGCTTGCAGTCAATGCCCAGTTACGTAACCTATATTCTGATAAAAACAAAATGTCACACTTGCTATTTATTTATTTATTGTAATATTTCAACTTCCCTTTAAATATATAAAAATTAAAGGGTCTTACAAACAGTATTTTAAAATGAGATGTACAGATATGCAGTTTAAAAAGAAGTGGGGATTTCTGGGGTGGGGAAGGAGATGGCAAGAGAAGGTGTGATTGGCCAAACCAAAATTAAAAAAAAAACACCTCCAGAATAAAGTGTTCATTAACATTTATTGCAGAATTCATATTTATGGTGGAGAAAGTATAGCTATATGCATGTATACAGAGACTGATTTCCTTATTACTTCCTTATTATAACTTATTCCTTCAGTATGCTAGCCTAACTATCTTTGGAGATACGGTCAGTGAATAGAAACAATTTGGTCACAGGTTCCTGGCTTCTTTCCTGTTGACACTCAGGATTAATTCAGTTTATTGTGAACATTTTCTTACAAGAGTGCTTGTAAGAAGATCACATGGGGGGGGAGATCTCACAGGTTTCACGTATAGGGGGCAGCACCTTTTACCATGCCACTCACACTGGATATACATTGGGAAAAAAAAAAAAAGCTTTAATTCTTGAATGGGAGCCATACAAGGTTTGTTATAAAATGTGCAGCTATATAAATGTTTTAAATAAATAAATATAGGAAATGAAAAGTGTGAATTGGATCAAAGTGAACAGAGGTTTTACAGAGGGGAGGGGAGCTTGTGCTTAAGAAGCCCCAAACCGCCTACTGAAGTGAAATATATAAATACAGGTGGTTCTCGACTTACAACTACAATTGAACCAAAAAATTTTGTTACTAAATGAGCCATTTGTTACAGGAATTTTGCCCCATTTTACGAACTTTCTTGCAATAGTTGTTAAGTGAATCGCTGCAGTTGTTAAGCTGGTGACACGGTTGTTAAGGGACTCTGGTTTCCTCACCGACTTTGCTTGTTAGAAGATGACAAAAGGTGAACACATGATCCTGGGACACTGCAACCATCATAAGTATGAATCAGTTGATTTTTGATCATGTGACTATGAGGATGTTGCAACAGTCGTGTGAAAAATGGTCATAAGTCACTTTTTTCAGTGCCATTGTAACTTTGAACAGTCACTAAATGAATTATTATAAGTTGAGGATTATCTACAGCAGTGGTTCTCAACCTGTGGGTCGGGACCCCATTTGGGGTCGATCGACCATTTCATGGGGGTCGCCAAGCAAGGCTGTCCGCCATTTTTTTGTCCGCCATTTTTTTTGTCCACCATTTTTTCCCCTTTTCCGACAGGTGCCTTACCTCCCTTGGGCTGGGCCAGCTAGTGGTCGGCCTGCTCCGTCTCTGCCGCTTGCCAGCTACGCCTCGGCCGGTGCAGGGGGCGGAACCACGCATGCGCGGCGCTCCCGGGCAGGGAAAGTCCTCAACTTACGACCGGTTGGGTAGTCCTCGACTTACGACCGGTTTAGTCCTCGACTTACGACCAGTTTAGTCCTCGACTTACGACCGGTCGGGGTCGCGGCATTAAAAAAGTTGAGAACCACTGATCTACAGCATGATCTCAGAAGCAATTTCCCATGAATATCACCTATAGGCTGTAACTCTCTGGATGACCACTAGATGGCAGGAAAGGAACACCGAAAATTAATTTCCTGCTGCCCTGATTTTTGCAGGCCAGACCCCGTAACCTTAACCATCCCCTTACATGCTTGGAGGCAGAGTTCTGACTTCAGAGGAGGAAAGAGATTATTTTCATGAATGATGGCATCAAAAGACTGTTGAGAAGGCTTGGACTGTTAGTACGGGTCCTCTGGCACAGCCCTCAAACACAGCAGAGGTTCACAGCAAATAAAGAGGCACACAAATATAATCTTCCACTGTCTGCTACATACTACTTGGAAGAAATCTATTCTTTCAATTTTACTATTTTTCTAAAAGGAGAGAGAGAGAAGGATTTTGTCCCAAAGAAAAATAAATTTGCTGAACAGGTTATTTTAAGTATCAATTTATCATATTAACAGCCAAGCGAGGATATTTTATTTGGTATTTGGATAGCTGCACCAGAGGAAAATAACATTTTGAAATGAGCAACTGCTGATTCAAAAAATTAATTCCTTTGCTCTTTCTTTTCTGTTTTGAGAATCGAATGATTTAACAACTTTAATCAAACAAATATTTTAATGGTCTCACCTTGTATATACAAATAGTGTTCCTTCCACATCAGTCTTCTCCTAAAATCAAATTAAAATTGCTTAGTTGTTATACTGATGCCATGCAAATGTGCAATCAAGCTATTAAAAAGTTTTATTATGTAGAGACAAGTAACTTGTGTTTTTACACTTTTAAGTGATTGCTGCACATTAATTAGCACATTAATGTATTCTAAGTCCATTCTAATTTTTCAAAACATCCAGTATACCTTTGTCCCCTGTAGTCCACAATCTTAAAACTTGTGTGCTGAGTACATGCTCCTAAAATGAAATGTTTTTTTTCCCCACTAGGAAGAATTAAAGACAGGTTTTAATTCTTTTGTGATAGCGGCCATTTTTCCATATTTTGAGCACTTTACTAAATTATAATATTTGTGGTAGGTATCCTGTATTAAGACCTTTATACTCGAGAAAACAAAACAAAACACTAACAATTCCTAAGAATGCTTTCATTACCAAATTTAACACATGGTGCCGGTAAGGAATTCCTATAGGTAGGGCATGCTTTATTATTGCTCTATAAATCATGAGAACATTTGTTATCCATCTGATTTTTAAATGCATCAGAAAAGTGATATGACTAACAATATTTGCCATAAAATATACAATCGACAGATATCCCATATTTTAAATTTAAAATAAATTCATAAGCAATGTAATTGTACTTATATTGACAGGCCCTATTTGACAAACAATTATATTGACAAACCATATTTCTGAAAGCATGGAGTGTACCTGACCACAGAAATACATTAACACAGAAATCCATTTTCCTGGGTATAAATAAGTCTGTCAAGTGATTAAAAAAGACTTTAATAAAGCCTCACATAATAGCCATCAATATAAAAAAGTAAAAAAAAATATGCAAAGTAGAAAGCACTAACAGGTTAAAAGAATTGGTATGGATACCAATATTTTTATATACCCTATACCAGGGGTCCCCAACCCCCAGCCCAGAGCCAGTCCGCAGCCCATTGGGAACCGGGCCACGCAAGCAGCAGGCAAAAACAAGCACAGAAAACCGTCCCTTCTCCCCTGGCTGCCAGTCTGCCAGGCCAGAAAGATTGGGGATCACTGCCCTATACAGCGAGTCCTTAGTCTTAATTTAGTATTACCATTATCCTGAAAAGGCTATATAAAAAGAAAAAAGTCTACATAGCAATACATATAAAATAGGCATACTGTATCGGGCTGGTAAAATATCTGGATGTGAACAAGAACATACAAAAAACTATCTTTACTGCCATCTACAAGACACTCAGAGTTTTACAATTCACATATAGTATGCTTAACATATATTCCACCTTTTAAAGACAGCTATATTATATTATTAATAAATGCTAATTATTTTTTTCATATTCTAGATATGATTTCAAACCTTATTTCAGAAATGTAACTTTCAACAAGTCACATACGTTCAAATATCCCCTGTCAAATATGTTGAAGTTAAAGGGTCAAGATAGTAAAAATGCCAGTCAAATATGAAAGATTGTTCCTGGAAACACTGAGAACTTAAGAGTTCCAAATTTAGTACATATAATTCAGGAAAGAGAAAAACTGAATTTTGAATTCATGTAGAGTCCAAGATAAGACAAGCAATCATTGTATCATGTACAAGGACTTCCAAGGACAGCCAGTATTGAAGAATTCTGGAGAACTCTAAAACAGGGGTCCCCAACCCCTGGGCCATAGACCAGTACCGGGCCGCGACATGCCAGCAACCGGTCCGCATAAACAAGCAAAGCCCCATTTGTGGGATGCAGGCAGCACACAAAACCACGCACCCTCTGGTCCATGGAAAAACCTCTCTCCATGGAACCGGTCCCTGGGGACCTCTGGTCTAAAATGTCTCCTTTCCCCCCTCCCTCCCATTTTGGTCAGTGCTAACAAACATATTGTCTAGTTCTGGATTTTGGAATTAGTATGCACAGGGGATCATAAATGCTGGGTCCAATAAAAGCACAAATAATTCAATTGTAATGTAATCACACTCAATAGTCATATTTTGGAATTTAACAGGCAAAATATCTTTTACGTATTCCAGAAAGGAAAGAGAAGTTTGATGAAGTGGTGAGTCAAGGAATGTATCAGGAAAGGGTCACTTAAAGAAAATAAAAAGTAGAAGAATCACTTAGTGCTATGTAAATCAATGAACGAAAGAGACAGTGGCATCAACCAATGAAAAAAACCACTTGAAACATTTTAATGAAGTGGTATAAAATTAGAAATAATAAACTGACACTGAAAGGGGAGTCAGATATATGCACTGATCTATACATTTCATTTCTGTTTGAAAAGAGCTTCATCAAAACAATGAACAGCGTAAATATATAGATGTGTTATGGTCTATTTATTGTTAATTTGGAATTTTAAGAGGAAGCTTGGTGTGGTGATTAAGGCAGGCTAGAAACTGGAAGACCATGAGTTCTAGTCCCACCTCAGGCACAAAGCCAGCTGGGTGACCTTGTGCTAGTCACTCTCTCTCAGCCCTAGGAAGGAGACAATGGCAAACCACTTCTGAAAATGCTGCCAAGAAAACTGCAGGGACTCGTGCAGACAGTCTCTGAGAATCAGATACGACTGAACAGAAAAAAAAGGGGGAGTTAGTTTTTCCTGCTTTAATAGGGTAGCTGCAAGTAATCTTTTTTGAAGAGGAAAGGGTAAGAAAAGCAACTAATTCAAAATTAGAATTAAACCTTTCTGAGCGAGGTGGCTGGAAACAAGATTATCCCTCACCCAGCCAATTCCAGGTGCGAGAAGGGGAGGAAAGGAGACACAGATGACAAAAGTCATGTTGTGCCATTACCCACAAGCTTTGTCTCTTTTGTCTGTGCTTCATATTGCACAGATCAGACAAAAAAGGTGGTGCTTACACTGCAAAAACATGATGCTGATTTCATTATTTTGACAAAGCATTATACCCTGCCAATGTCTGTGGAAGGAGAGGCTGGTGTATTCTACCTAGCACAGGCATGGACAATTGATTTTCCAAGGGACTACATGAGAAACTGGGCCTTTGTGGAAGGTCAAAACACAGAGCTGTGAAGGCGGTAGGCACACATGCAAGCACATACGTAATTGGAAAAAAAAACAGCACTCACCTTTAAAATAAAAGCCATGCAGTTGTATTGTGTGCACGGTGTACACTTATTTACATTTGATTTCTAATTTCCAACTGACCTCATGTGGACTGGACACAGGCAGCCAAAGGGCCGGATGTGGCTGTAAAACGCCCAGATCTGACCTAACAGACATGTTTATCATCTCTCCCTTGGAAATAGGCAACAATCTGAAATCAAAACTTTTGGTTTACTCCTGCAGGTAGCAAATTGGGGGAGTCAGTTTGATCTAGTGCAGGGGTAGGCAACCTTGGCTCTTTTATGACTCGTGGATTTCAACTCCCAGAATTCCTGAGCCAGCCATGCTGAGGAGAAAGGGAGAGGTTTCCAAGCTGAGCCATGCTGGCTCAGGAATTCTGGGAGTTGAAGTCCACGAGTCATAAAAGAGCCAAGGTTGCCTACCCCTGATCTAGTGGTTAAGGCACCAAGGCAGAAACCAGGAGACTGTGAGTACTAGTCCTGCCTTAAGCATGAAAGCCCGTTGGGTGATCTTGGTCACTCTCAGTCCAGTCCACCCCACAGGCTTGTTGTTGTGGGGAAAAATGTTCGCTGTCTCGAGTTATTTATTAAAATACAGGGAGTCCTCGTCATATGACCTCAATTAAGCCCAACGTTTCGGTTGCTGAGCGAGATATTTGTTAAGTGGGTTTTGCCCCATTTTACGACCTTCTTTGCCATAGATGTTAAGTGAATCACTGCAGTTGTTAAGTTAGTCACACGGCTGTTAAGCAAATCTGATTTCGCCACGGACTTTGCTTATCCAAAGGTCGCAAAAGGGATCACATGAGCCCAGGACACTGCAACCATCATAAATATGAGTCAGTTGCCAAGCGTTTGAATTTTGATCACATGACCATGGTGATGCTGCTACGGTCTTGTGAAAAATGGTCATCATAAGTCACTTTTCACAGTGCCCTGAATGGTCACTAAATTAACGGTTGTAAGTCGAGGACTGCCTGTAACACAGGAGGAATAAAACAAATAAATAAAGTCAGCTCCCAGTAATTATGCACACACACCCATGCAGTTTTCTTGGCACCATTATGGAAGCGGTTTTCCAGGATTCATCATGGAGAACATCTGATATCCACACAGATGCTAAAAATTAACAATGACTTGATGGCACATAATCAATTAAAATAAAAACTCTTCCGTAATGGGGATTTGTTTACTTTCCAGGCCAGCCTTCAAATCTGAAATTTCCTGGGGCTCCCAACAGGCCCAAACCTGATTACCGAGGATGCGCAGTGAAGCTTTTTGCCATAAGGTGCTCCCTTCCAGGCACTCCCATCTTTGCCAGCTGAAAAACGCCTATCCCAATCATCAGTTATTAACCTCAATGTATTTGGACAGCCCAATACTAGGTGACTAAAGGCCAAGTGCACTAAAAACAGGCTGGCTGGGGTTGTTCTGCTTCATAATCTTATACTACGGAGGAGATGAAAAGGGGGGGGATTTAGGACATTGATTTTTGGATCATCCATATTGTTAATTATTCTTGAAACTGATTAAATCAGAGGTTCTCAACCTGTGGGTCAGGACTCCATTTGGGGTCGATCGACCATTTCACGGGGGTCGCCAAGCAAGGCTGCCCGCCATTTTTTTGTCTGCCATTTTTTTTGTCTGCCATTTTTTTTGTCCGCCATTTTTTCCCCCTTTTCCGGTGGGTGCCTTACCTCCCTTGGGCTGGGCCAGCTGGTGGTCGGCCTGCTCCGTCTCTGCCGCTTGCCAGCTATGCCTCGGCCGGCGCAGGGGGCAGAAACACGCATGCGCAGCGCTCCCGGGCAGGGAAAGTCCTCGACTTACGACCGGTTTAGTCCTCGACTTATGACCGGTTGGGGTCGCGGCATTAAAAAGGTTGAGAACCACTGGATTAAATCTACTCTCGGACTCTTTTAACTTGGTGCTAGATTGTGGCTATGTCTATTTTGAATGGGAAGTTGGATGTGGTATGTAACTTTGGCTGCTCCTCCACTGGCAGGCTGCCCCTCTCCACTCCTTATTCCAGTGCCTCTCTGCTTATCTTGGCAGCCAGGGTAGTTCTGCTGGCAGATCTCTGGAGTTCATCAGCAGAAAGTGCTCCCTGATGCAAGAAAGGGATTTCTGCAAGCAAAATTGGCATGTGCTTCATTTAGACCAGAGGTCCTCAACCTTGGCAACTTTAAGACTAGTGGACTTCAACTCCCAGAATTCCTCAGCCAGCAAAGTCCACTAGTCTTAAAGTTGCCAAGGTTGAGGTCCCCTGATTTTTAGACCTTGGGCAGATGACCCCTCTTTCCCAAAGGTGTTTTTTCACAAGGCAATTGGACGTTCTTGCTTTTTCTTTGAAGACCTTTCACTTCTCCTCCCAAAAGCGAAACGTCTTCAAAAAAAAAAAAACCAGCAAGAAAGTCCAGTTGCCTTGTGAAAAAGCACCTTTGGGAGAACTATGACCTGGGTGACTGAGAATCTCCATAGACCTAACCCCTCTTTGTCCCTTTTGAAATAAGCTCAGGCAGCAAAGAATAGTCAAATACCTCCTAAAAAGAATAAAACGGCATTAAATTGGAAAAAGGCTCCCTCCCCCCCTTTAACCATTTCGGTAAAAGGGCAATGAGCATAATGATCTCTGCCCAAAATATACGCAAGGCAAATTTGAATAGGAAAAACGACCTCGAGTTAAAAGCGAAGGGAGAGTCATTTAGAAGGTTTACGGGACCTCCCGTTTGAGTGGATGCCACGTAAAGGCTTGAAAGACTCCTCCTCCTCCTCCCGCTCCTATATTATGGAATTTACGGTACGGGAACGACGGCTACTTTATTCCGTCTTTCTTCCACTTCCCCACCACCGTCCCGGGATTGCACTCGCTCACGCACCCACTCATTGGCCCGATGCCCGAAAGTGTAGAGCGCCACCTGGCTGGCCACGTCCAAGATGCTGCTGATGTAGGGGTCGTGCCGCTGGAGAGCCGCCAAGCTGATGTCCAACCCCTTGCCCAGTGGGGCAGCCCCAGCCACTGACGCAGCCATCTTGCCTCCGAGAAAAATAACTCCCCGCGTTCGGAGCAGGCACAACTAATCAAGGTCCGAGAAATAGATTCAACACGACGACTTTTCCACCGATCGCTCGGAATTGCAAAACTGGGTGATAGGGAGCCCTGACAATCGAGCACCGATTGCCCGTTAGCAGAGGATTGTTGCTATTGACAACCCTTCCAGCTTTCCCCTCCTTGGCTTTTGATTCCTCCCTCTAGCATTTTTTAAAAGAATTTTTCCAACTAACTTTAAAAACCCAACTCCGTGCGACATTGATTTTAATTTAGGAAATAAAACGCAAATTCTTGGCAACTCCCAAAGACACTGCCAATGAGATAATCAATATGGGGAGATCTCTTGCCCCCCAAATTAGAGAAAATTCAACATCATTGAATTTTCACGTTAGATTTCGATGGAGGAACTGAATAGTTTCCTATATTCTTTTTTTATAATATTTTATTAATTTTCTCATTTTGCAATTGGGTATAATCTTGATATCTTATTGCCAGGACTGCAGTCTTTATCCAGAAGACTTCAGTCTGCTGAGGAATTCTGGGAATTGAAGTCTACAATTCTTTAGGAGTAATTTAAAAAAAAAAATACCATACCACTTGGCTGATGCAAACTGCCCTGTTTTACAAAAAGTTAAGCTGAAAAGGAATTAGAATTCTGCTGCATTAAATTTTCTATAGATTGATAGATTAGTAGGAGATAACTCTGATAGCCACCGCACAACAATAGATAATCTTGAAGTTACCTGATCTTTCTCTACAGCACTGTTTCTCATCCTTGGCAACTTTAAGAGGCCGTCCACACCAAGTCTTCACTTCTTAAATTTGCTGAGCTCCAGAAAAATTGCTTTAAAGGATGGTCTTCAGCACTGAAAGAAAGGACAGCCTCCTTCTCCCCCCCCCACCCCATTATATATTTTACTAATCTAGAAAAGCTTCTGTCTGCTAGTGGGTTAATTGACTTGTCCTAAACCTGTTGAAAGGACAGATTGATTGACCTGCCCATCCCATGACTTCAGCTTAAGATACTAGTAGCTCTTATTTTGGGGTTAAATCAAATACTAAGGTGGTGTGTCGGGATGGTTTTTCCAACTTTTGTTTCTTCAAAATTTAACTACAAATTGTTGCTTCTATGTCAAGGCAAACAAATGAAAGGGAGAGGATAAAAATTTATAATTCACAGTCACCATTGATCCTGTAAACTTATTTTTCATGAGATGTTAAAATTATTTTTGCAAATATTAGACATTTTTGCTACTCCCTCATTTTTTGATAATTCCCTAAGTTTCTGGGATCCTTACTTTAGAATTTCCCAAATGATTGATGATATTGGGAAATACTTTCTTTTATTATAAACTAGAGATGCGGAGGAGTCTGGGAGTACCTTTTCCAACTTTGTAAAAAATAAAATAGATTAAAGGGAATACAGTACACTTTAATCTTAGAACCTATGCCTTTTAATAAAATGTGTAGCTGGGAAAACTGCTCCCAGATGTGTCCTATTTTTTTTTTTTGCCATCATAAACTAACATAGGGTGACAATTCCTGTTGATTAATTCCTGTCGCAACCAACATAAGGGTGTTTTTTTCACAATCTGAAAAAAAGGACCTTGCAATTGTGAGAAAATACTAGGAAAAAAAAGAGACTAACATAGCTTTCTTCCCTTTTTTGATTTTCCAGTTTAGTGCAGTGGTTAAGACACCAGGCTACAACTTGGGAGACCAGAGTTCTAATCCTGCTTTAGACACAAAGCCAGCTGGGTGACATTGGGCTAGTTACTTTCTCTCAGCCCTGTGAAGGAGACAATAGCAAACAACTTCCAAAAAAACTTGCCAAGGAAAGTGCAGGGACTTGTCCAGGCAGTCTCCAAGAGTCATACATGACTGAACAAAAGAAAAAAAAAGAATCTGGCTGCCCATTAGGTGGCAGAAAATAATTATTTTCTATATTAAATTATTTTTGCTGCAGTTTCAAGATTGTCTGTATTTTCCAAAGCTGAGATACAGTAGTTCTAACTAAGCCATTTATCTCCATTTTTAAATAGAGAGATAATAAATCACCCACCAAACAACTGTTTTTAATTATGACATACTAATATATAGCTTTCCTCCATAAACCATCAAATGGAGCATGCTCTGGTTGCCTAACCACATGTCATTAAGGCTTTCTCTTTTAAAACAGGAAAAGTAAAATCGCCTGGTAACTACACAAACCACACGTAGGCAATTTTCTTGACCACGGAAAATTAGTCATTGGCGTCTTAGATTTTTTTTTGTCTCATCTCCAACCTTTACAGTCCCTCATCCAAATACTAAGATTTATTTCTGATTACCGTTTAAAAGATCAGCCAAAGTCATGGTAGTGAACCAGAAACCATCACAAATCTCTGTGGAAGAGGTACATATTTTAAAACACAATTGTCCAATGTGTCATGGCTCCCCGTTTGTCTGGTTTCCTATTCACTCAACAGAGATAGGAAAACTAACTAGGCAACTAGATGACAGCGTAATCAATGTGCAATATACTGTATATTAGTAAATACTGGTTCAATAGAAATGAAACAGATGTAGGGTGAATTGGCTCCTTTGTTTCATCTGATTGTTCATTTTGAATTCGAGACCCTTCTTCCCTCTGACTATATAATTTTTTTCTGGCAAAACCAGAAAATACTGGAAAAACTACTCATGAAGGTTAGGGGGAGAAAAGGGTTCAGATAAAATGCACATATTTATTTATACAGCACACAGATGGGTAATACTGCCCTCTAGTGCTTTGTTCTTAATGCTGCCTACAAAGTAATACTGTAATTGCTGTTGAAATCTTCCTTAAGTCCTTAACCTAACATGGAAATGTTTATGTTAGGATTGCTAGATCTGGGCTGCAAACAACCAGCAATCACCAGATGGTAGTCCAGAGTTGAAGATTTCTAACAGATCAGCAGCCCAGATGTGCCAGCCCTAGTTTAACGAATTTTATACCATTAACCATATAGTTAAATCATGAATGCTAGAGTTTTGTATTTTCAGAATCCTGAACCTATCTTGTCAAACTTTTTTTCTAAATAAGATCCAGGGTGATACAGTGATTAAGGTTCAGGACTTGGAGTAGAAAGACTCAAATTCTAATCTATCCTCAACCAAAGAAAGTCTTAATATTTTACTAATTCATTGGTTATTGACAGATTAATTATAATATTCAAATAGATAACGCTCGATAGGTTGCTTCTTAGCATGGCTGATGTTCCTCTACTAGCAAAATACGCTAACTGTGTTAAAATATACTAAAATAATTTGCGCACATATATTAAAATAGTTTAATCAAATCTTGGCAAATGCTGAACCACGTATGATCTGTACATGTCCTGCTCCATCTTCCAAATTCAGAATTGAACGAACATTTGTGGCAACAGAACTTGTCCACAGGCCATTTTGGTGAAAAGATTTAGGTTGTCATTCCTAGCCTTTTTATTAAAGTGGCTTTCTGGTACAGAAACCAGGGTCTTGGAACTGAACTCGGGGTCAAAATGACAGTTGGGATTCCATCCCATTTCATATTCTAATCAAGTTCTCAGACAAAACTGCTTAGGTTATCTAGAATGGATAGTACTGAGGCCTGGATAGTGGAATTGCACCCCTGTGGATTCCTTTGTTTTTTGGGGGGGGGGAATTATAGATAAGCAGCATCAAAAGCAGATTTATTGTTTCAACAGAACTTTGTGTTTCTCAAAAGATTTCTTCTCAAACTTTCTGCATTTGCTTTGGGGGGGATCAACCTTCTTGTGGAGTGGAGACAGGTTGACAGGTTCTCCTACTTTCTTAGATTTGGGTGTTGTTCTGTGAATTGTGAGTTCTGCATCGATACAGTTGCTCTAGGCCTGTCCACGTAGATAGATGCTCTCTCCTTCATTGAACTCTTTGAAGTTCCACTCTTTTTGGCATGACAATTTCATGAATGAATCAAGTAAAAATGGAAAAAGGTATACTCACTTTTGTTGGTTCTGACTGCATATTCCTATTTCCTTTGTTTCTGTAAGATGGGACTCTGCATGCTGGAGCTATTTACGTTTGGAAAATTCATTGGAGGTACATCTTTTGCTGCTAGCCTTTCAGCAAATATATCATGCAATTCCCATTCGACATCCTTGATACTTTTATTTTCCATTTATTTGTCATGGGCTTTAGAGCAAAGCATTATTGTGCCTTTCTCAATGACAGGTACCATATGGTGGATATTTAGTCAAGAATAATAGTATACTATTGTTTTTTTCTTACTTTTTCTACTGCAAGGAAGACAACAGCAAACAGGAATAAACTCTAAAAACTCAACTTTCTCACTTTTCTCTACAATTCAGGGTTCCCCTTATTCAACCTCACTTGCCTCAGCTATAGAAGAAATTCCAGTGCCAATGAACTCATGTATTTTCTGATTAAACTGCCAGCTATGATTCCTGCCCCCAGCCCTTTTCAGGGGGAAATTCACCAATGAGATTTTACTGCTTTATTACTATCAGGATTTATTGAAATAAAAAACTTTGCTGAAAAGGTACCCTGGCGAATCAGATCTTTCACCTCTTTGTTTGTTAATTCACAAAATTCTGCAAGTTCCTAGGACTGGATAAACATAAAATAAGTGATTATCAGTTCTGAAGCAGAGTGAGCTTGGGGTTACCAAGACAGAAGAGTTTTTGAAACTTTCGAAAGCTCATCATCATAAGAGCTTTGTCTTCTGCAGTTCCATTTAGAATAGGGTCTTGGGGTCCTACAGAACAAAAGAACAGATGCTGAGATTGCAGAGTGCAGGGAAAAGCAATAAAGATGATTAGGAGACTGGGGGCTAAAACATATGATGAACAGTTGCAGGAACTGGGTATGTCTAGTCTAACAAAAAGAAGGACTAGGGGTGACACGATAGCAGTCAATTCCAATATTTGAGGGACTGCCACAGAAAAGAATCAACCTATTCTCCAAAGCACCTGTAGGCAG